ATTCATGGCTGATTCAAAACTAAGATCCCCCTGCTGTGGTCAGTAAGGGGAGAAAAGGGGAAATAAAATCAAGAATAAAAGAGGCATTTATAAACGTTTAGGTGTCAAGTGAAATGGGACAAAAGGGGGTGTTTTACTGTTATTTAATGTCAGCATTATTATTGTATGAGAATCATGCGACAAGCATTGCATCGATGATCATTTATTGGAGCTTTTGACCTTATACTAACATCTGTGTTCCTGTGATTGTTATAACCTCTGATGAATCTTCTATTTACAGGTGTTAGGATAATGATATAATTTTTCATTGCAGGTGTAACCATGATCATTTTCATACATATTGCAACTTGTTGCTCATTGTAGAGTTGTGCTCAAGTTAATAAGGGTTAAAAGCTACAGTCAGCGCGAATGTCTGACTGATCTATTGAGGGGAAAGGCTTCGAGCATAGAAGGCCACACGCGCTTACATAACATTGATATCATGTTATTCTTTGTGATCTTTTCTTCAATTATGTCTTTAAGTTTAGTTTAAGTAGTGGCAGTTAATTAAACGACATTTATTAAAATATTAAATACCTGAGTCAGAACGTTACACGCGGATCACCTTAAGAGTCTGGGAAACTTTGTAGCTGCCTAACTTTTTTTTTTGAATGTTCTAGCTCCGTTGATTTGACACATTGGAATGTGTCAAAAAAGGGGGGGAAGGTTGAGCTTTAACATCAAACAAGGATTATTTGAAAAATTTTATAACTTCTTTTGTGTCTTTAATACCTTAGAAATGGTAAAGCTTAAGCTAATAGCGGTCCGAGAAGACGGACCTTTTAGAGAATCAGTGAAAAAGCATAAACTATCACTTTCATGTTTAATCATTACTCGTTGAAATGAACTGAATAGCGCTTAGAAGATTTGTTAATTTCTTTGTCTTTTGTTAAAAAGAGGGGTTTCAATAATTTTCAGACACACCTTGCAAATGTGCTTATAACGAGTTGGCACTCGGCCTTTTGAAGGTCAGAAGCTTCGTTCGGCGTGACTGTCCGGACTGATAAAGTGTAGGAAACGCCTTGAGTGCAGAGGGCTAAATGCAAACACGTTTACACACACATAAGATATGATTAGAATAAGTCCCTGGGACATTCTGAATGTTTTAGACCAATTTTGAATCACTAGAAGGTCAGTAGATAACAACATTAGATTATTAGGGTTAGGAAGAGAGGTGTTTTGGTTTTCTGTCTCTTACAGAGAAAGGAACAGACACCAGACGAGGCCACAGAGATACGAGGGTCCTTCGCAGCAGAGACAGATACAGTGACTGCCGAGACACCAACTGGGTCCAAGGGTCATGGCGTTTGGGCTCCAGCTAGTCACTTCAAAAGGATGAATCCCATAAATACAGCAATAACCATGAAGGGGTTGACGGAAATCCGGAAACACCAGACCAACGAGGTTCGAGAGGCTCTTGGGCAAAAGGGGACGCCTTCCTGTTCTTTTCTGGAGGATACACGGGAGACACAGGACCCGAGGATACACAGATCGTTGTTTGAAATAGGGGCAGAATAATCCCCTGATCTGTGTCACGACTGAAGGGTTGTCTAACCCCTGAGGTTGAAGTAAGAAGAACAGAGGATCACGCAACTGGACGATACTGGTAGCTGCAGCAATAAAATAAAGGTTAAGAGCTCTTCGGACAGAGGTTCTAGTCTACGTCTGAATGGTATAAGGGAACACCAAATAAAGCTGTGGGAGAACAGGGGAGTGTCATCTGGACCTGCTATCCTTGTAGTAATAGTTTGTCTTGCACCTGACTTGCGCAAACACAGAGGTCATCTTGTTTGCCCGTCAGGGGACAAAGGACCTCAGGAGTGAGAAGAGATGAACCCGGCCACACTGGGCTACAGGGTGTTTGTGAGGTCATTATTCTAATGACCTCATCAGGGGGAATTGTTAGATTATAATATTATTTTATGCCATGTTATACCCCTAATTAAAGATTGTGAATTATTATGTAGTTTTAGTTTGCATTATTCTCCTGAATTAGAAGAAGCTGATAACTATTGCATTAGTTAAACTGATTTGCATTACATTAAACTGCTGACTTGTTGTGAATGAATGATATTGTTTTATGATGCATTATACTGCTGAGTTATAAGAAATCTAATTTGTCTGAGTAGAAGAGAACAGAGTGTGCTGGAGTTTTCTGCCCCATTTCAGCAGGAGCAGATAAACAGGGAGCCAAGGTCGTAGCTTAGGCGCTGTGTGAGAGAAAGCATGTGAATGTTTAGGCTTTGTATGATAAGGTGGAGGCACCAGAGGCTATAAAAGTTTGAGCAATGCTCCACCATTTTGAGATTTTGAGGCTGTCTGCATCAGTGTCCATCTCCCACGTGTGTGATCATTAAATCATCGTTTGACTCAACCCGACCGGACCAGTGTTGTTATTGTGGTTTTTCTCTTGTCTCCATCCCCAATATTTTGAACCTTAACAGCCTCTTGGCTGTATTTTTGATCAGTGCTCTCCTTGTTCGGCCTGTGAGTTTAGGTGGACGGCCTTGTCTTGGTAGATTTACAGTTGTGCCATACTCCTTCCATTTCTGAATGATCGCTTGAACAATGTTTGGAATCATGTATGATTTTCGTTCCACTTCTCACGTGTACACCACTTTGTATTGGTCTTTCACGTGGAATTCCAATAAAATTGATTCATGTTTGTGGCTGTAATGTGACAAAATGTGGGAAAGTTCAAGGGGGCCGAATACTTTTGCAAGCCACTGTATATATACAGCTAATTATTAAATTTTCTCTTTTTCTTTATAAATTTCAATTGTTACACATTCTAATACATTATCAATCGCAGTTGTCATACTTTCCACCACCTTGTAATTTAAGTTTTTATCCACATACACAGCTACTCCCCCTCCACTTTTGTTCCTTCTATTTACACAATTCACATCATATCCCATCAGTCCAAAGTCCAGTCCTTTCTCAGCATAAATCCATGTTTCAGAAATGGCAATAATTCCAAATGGATTTGTCAACTCATTTAGATATTCCTTATCGGCGTTGGCTGTGGTCTCAAGGCTGAAGCTGATCAACAACAACAAATTCTCTCCCTGATAACAGAACAGTTTAGACTCCTCGTCTCCATCTGGATTCCAAACACCTCCAAATGCTTATCTCCAGCTAAGGTCAGACAGCGGCTCTGCCCCCGCACCAGACGAATGGCAGTAGGGCAGGATGGCTGTGTCTACATCGGCTCACCCCCCCTTACCCCTTAACCACCCCTGTTGCTTGCCATTTGTTTTCATGGTGTTTTGATGTGGAGATTTATGTGCTCTCTGTGCTGAGGAGTTTTGTTTGTTTTTCTGTTCTCATACTGACCTCCCACCAGGAGCCGAGTATGAGTAGAGGTCTCTTTTTTCCCCTCCTCTACCTACCCGTTGTATTGCACATTTCCTAGTTTTTCTCTATCTCAGACCTGTTTTCCCATGTGACATCTGTGCTATGTATGTTTGTTCGGGGGGGGGTCCAATTTCACTGCAGGCTGTAATATTTGCATGTGAAAAATAAAGGTTTCTTTGACTTTGTTGTGTCTGATCTGTCCCTCTTGATTCCCATGTGTCTCCACATTCCCTAATCGCTCTTATTTGTACATATTTTGTCAGTTCCCTTTTGTCCCTTGCTGGATTGTCTGTTCATCTCCCTCCATGTTCCAGGATCTCTCTCTGTGTTGGTTTTTGTGTTGCCCAGTTTAATTTTCCTTTTAGTGAATGTCCACTCTCCTTTTATGCTTTTCACTTTATATTTTTTGTATTTTTTTTTTGTATATTACTATTAATAAGTAAAGATTTATTAGCTTTGAATAGCGCTCCAGAGCTACATAGGAAAGGAATAAAAACACGTTCATAAACAACAAAGTTTTTTTAAAACTGCTCTTAAATTAAACTTGTTCAGAGAGACACTCCAGGAAAAACGTTAGAAATCCTTCAAAACTTTAGAACCCCTTTTTTTGGCATTAAAACAAGACAAAGCCCTGTGTCAGATAGTTGTGGCAGTAGTCAGGCAACTTGATGATGTCAAAGCATATGATGGCTCTTGGCTGGCGCCTACTTGGCACCTTCTCAATCAGCTCTTTGGGTGGAACCTCCAACCCATCCAGAACTGCAAAAGATTCTTCAGATGCTCTCAAGAAGCTGTTGTCCTTACTAGTCAGAAATTCCACTTAAGCTTTAAGCTCTACTCAGCTTTATCATTCTTTCAGGTTCTTGGCTCGCTTTGTGGGTGGATGGATTCTTTACAGATGGTGTCGGGTTCATTTTATGAGAGAAGATAAGCTTAAAGTTTTCATAATTAAGTATTAAGTGGTTAAAGTTTCAAGTTAGTTTTCCATGGGTGCCATTGTGCATGGAGCATTATGGTTACCTTTTTCTGGCAGAACCGAGGGATGCACATTGTTGTGGCATAAATGTTATAGCTGTAACTTCACTGTGGCGTGGTTAGTAGCGTTAGAGGGTGATACACCTAAGCTCAATCAGCTCATCGTGCCTCCCCTGTATAAAAGTCTGTGGTAGTTGTTGTTGGTCTATGGGAGGCTGGAAGCTAAAAAGCTGTAGCTGCGAGTATTGTGGAAACAACAACCAGAAATAAAATGTTTGCTGAAAAGTGTGATGATGTGGTTGGGTTTGTCATTCATGCCACATTCACGATGACACAAAACATGAGGGAAAAAGAGCTTTATTTTGAATTTACCTGAAATCAGCGGTAAACAAATTGGAATAGGAAAGCAGCTAAAAGATTGTAACCTTTGTAGATTTTCATTTAGCGATGACATGAAAAATAATGAATATTCACACAAGAAGCAAATCATAATGCTACCCAAAACTGCATGTTTTGAAACAACACAATCTATTTAGTGTGATTCTTGTGAAAATGTGCAATAAGTAGTCGAAACATTACAATAAATGACTCACTTTAGATTATCAAGAGTTTGTTTCATATTGATACATTTTGAGGGAATTGTTGCAGGAAGTACTTAGTATCAGTTTGTATCAATCACAAAAAACAGATTGAAAGTCATTCAGCATGTAATATTTTGATAAAATTTCATATCTAGAATAAATCAGATGGTTAAGATAAGAAAAACAAACAAACAGAAATATTTAAAATCTCCAAACTACATTAATTGCCAGATTCAAAACACCCATATTAAAATCCCTACAGTCACACAAAAACTTGATACATGAATCTTTCACATGTTGAGATCGTCTGGTCATTTCCTGGAGTTGCTCAACTAGTGTTGGGGTCAGTGTTATCCTCCTCTTCCACATCCTGTAAATAAAGCTTATTAGTACCACCAATATGTTAGAGTTTTGAAGTGTAATCTGAACTCAGGGATCTGACAAGATAGACAGTTTTCCTACTTACACTCACATCATTTTGCTTATTATGTAGTAATGCTGATCAAAGCAATTAAATAGAATAAAGTAAGTAGTACCTCAAAGCCATAGTCCTTGCACCAGTCCTTGAAAGCTTTCTTGATATCGTTTTCTTTGGCTAGTATGACTTTACGGTTCTTCCAGTAAACCCTAAGTGTCTCGTCAGAAAAGCGCTCTGGGAGAAGCTTCGACACCTGACATCAGGCACAGCAGCATATAAATTACGTATTACACAGCCAATGTTTTCTTATGGAGATGCATAAAAAAAGAACACAGCACATAGAAATAAAGGCTGTAGTTCTCACCTTTGATTTGGAGATTGGGATTCCTTTGTCAGGGTTATCCTTGCGATAGAAAAATGCTTTACTGATGGGGTCCTCAGTGTTCATCCCATAGTCAAAAGTGACAGGCTAAAATAAAATTTTACAGAGAAGCCTGTGTTTATATCCACATATAAATATTGGCCCAGTGGAGGTTGCACACATATTTTAAATACACTGGGGGAAAAAAATCCAGATTTTAAGAAAAGTTATTAATCAATAAAACTCACAATGACTTCAAATTTTCCCTCAGGACACTTTTCCTCCAGTTTTTTTGTCAAATCTTCCTTCAACTTCTGAACAATGAAGGAGATAATAGGACAGAATGTGCATTTTTATTATTGTTTTGTTAATCTTGTTTTTGAGCTGCTCTCATTCTTACCTTCATTTTTTCTTTTTTTCTTCCTTGTTGTATTTTTCCTTGAGCTGAGAAAGGGGGGAAGTGGGAGGGAGAAGAAAAAGATTTATTCAGTACTGAAAATGCACAGCAAGCATGATAACATCAAACCAAAGGCACAACCTAAAATGAAAAGCTACAGGGAGGACTATGTTCATATTCACATGAAATAATTGCCCAGTGGGGGTTGGAAACATCTTAAAAAAATCAACAACAAAAATTAATATTTTAAGAAAGGTTCACAAATTAATAAAACTCACAATAATCACAAACTCATTCTTATCGACCCCAGGAACGTCCTTGAACAGTTCTTTTAAACTTTTCTTCTTCTCCTGAAGGATGGAGGTCAAAACATGTGTCTTATTATTATTGTTTTGTTAATATTGTTTTTTTAAGCTGTTCTCATACTTACCTCTGATATGTCCAATTGGTCTTTTTTCTTGTATTGAAAAAGTGGGAGGGGGAAGAAAAGGATTTAGTCAGTACTGAAAAAACACAGCAAGCATGATCACATCAAACCAAATGTTTAAAGAATCTATGTTTCTTAATTTCTCTGCTTCAAACACAATATTTCTCACCCATCAAATATGAGCTGTTCCAAAACTTTCTTCAGATATATTCTTTCTTCAGATATACATTAACAGCTTGGTATTTTAGTACATGCATGGAAAATTGACTCTTTGAAAGTAGTATTGCATGCATTCTAAGCTCAGGTTCTGTGCTTCCTCCCTCCCTTTCTCTGTCAATGGATCCCATTCAGTGTGAATACTTGACTTGTAATACAGGCACATAAAAACATAATTGCTTACCGTGGCCTGACCCACACAGTAGTACAGGTCTCGATCCATGACCCTCTTTAGAATCTTCCTTGCCTCCTCCAACTTATCTGAAGTAGAGTTGAGTATTTTTTCTATCACATGATCTACAGAGTAAACAGAAATAAATTGGAAGTTAAGACAGTTCAAACAAGATAAAACAATAAAATTCATCTTACAAAGTTATTTACACAAACTTATATCACAAAAAACCAACTGTATTATTATAGCAAACATTACTAAATATAGTGTAATAGAGTAAAGCCCCTCTGCAGAGAACAGTAGTTTAACCTCCTAACGGTGTGTTCACACTGAACGTGATAGACGCGACCAGAGCGTCAGGTTTACATGTAAAGTCAATGGAGAAGCGTGATGACCTGCGACTGGGGGTCCTGCGAAAATTCAGGAGCAGATTAGCGTTGCGAAAACGCGTCAAACACGCGTCAAAGTAGCGTGACTGGCGCATTTGACGTGCGTCTAATTCGCGTTGCACACGTGTTGAGGTGCAAATTTGCACGCGTCTGGCGCGTTTTGGTCGCGTCTATCACGTTCGGTGTGAACACACCGTAAGACCTGAACTCTTCCACGGCATGCGTTTTAATTTCTCTTTGATATTTGGGCATATTGGGGCCTGATGAATGTAAAAACAAAGAATTACCAGATTTATTTATTTTTTAACCTGATTTTTGTTTCTAAGAAAAATGAGAGCCACATATGAGGATATTCGTTTGAAATTTCAATAGAACAGTAGCAGTATAATGTCCTCGTAAGTGGATATCAGGCCCCTCTAGAGCAAAATTGAGTATTTTGGTCTAAATAACCCAAAATGTGATGTCCACATATGTGGACGCCAGGTCCTAGGAGGTTAAATAAATATACAGTTAAATTGTTTCAAAAATGTCAGTCAAAAGGAACATAGTCCTATTTGTGTGTTGTCCATAATCTTTCCCAATTCATATCTGTATTTAGTTTATCTGAAATAAACTGAATGAGATAAATAAAAACTTTTATAGGTAAAAAAAAAAATGCATGTAAAGACAATTTGTAATTTATACACAACACAGATCAAAGCCACTACCTGTCAGCTTCATGTATGCCTCCATGTTGTCTTTGGCTTCAGAGAGAGAAAACGTAGCATTTGAAGTTTCAATATGCATTTCTTGAACCTCATTTGCTAGCACGAGGGCATCTTTGATCCTGGAAATAATGACCCAACATATGACTTTAGTGGCACACTGCAAACAAGCTAAATTTTGTGCTAGTATTTTGAGTACACTCACATAATTTCTACAGCCAACGCTATCTTGTGCTTGCAGGCTCTTCTGTGGATAGAGTGCCTTTGTTGGAATATGTCATACAGATTTGCCACTTCCTGTTGACAGCATAGTTTAGTTATAGCTACTCATATATAACTTGTGTAACTTGTGTATCTGCAAATATACACATTCTGTATTTTTCATATGAAAGAAACTATACTGTGGTGGGGCTTGCAAATTTCTTGTTTTTGATTTATGTATGTTATGTTTTGTTTTACTTCATATGTTTATATGTTTCATATGTTGTTTGTTTAATTTAAGACAAAAAAAAATTAAATGAATGAGAGGTAAAACTTGAGGGGGTAGGGACAAATAAGTAAATACTTCAGCCTACTCCTTTTCAAACAAATAATGGAATGATATTTTGTAATGATTGTGAAGGCACATGTTTGAAATGTTTGAAATAAAAATGAACTGAACTGAACTGAAATATAGTTTTCCTTAAAAATTGATTTAAAAAAAAAAGCAGAGGTCAATACCTTGTCTCTAGAGCAAATGTGCTTAATTTTTGTTTTCTTTTTGCTCCCATCCTCCTCCTCCACATCACACACCCTGGCAAACATAATGAAGCGTTGATGGTCAAAGTTGTTCCGGATGCCCAGGTGGTGGCAATCCCTGAGATGGGAGAGAGGAAATGTGAATTAAAAAAACAAACAAACATCAAACAAGCAAGCAAACTAACAAACCAACAAAAAAAGCTTGTGGTAAACTCTTCAAAGAACCACTAAGTCTACTACAAAAATTGAATTTTTCTTTTGTAAAGCACGCTTCACCTGGCAAAGTAGTCAAACTTGTCAACATCAATCCCGGTTTCCTTGTTTGCCACAATTTCATAGAGAAAGGATTTTTCCTTTTTTCGACCTTTATACTCCCACTGTGGAGATAAAGCCAGACTAGAAGCATTAGATTCTCACTTCTGCAGCAGCGATGATTGTGAATTCACACAACTGATCAGTACCGTATCCTCATCTTGTTCCTTCTCCTGAGATTTTCCATCCTGATCTGGTTTCTTTTCCTGAGATTTTTCATCCTGATCTGGTTCCTTCTCCTGAGATTTTCCATCCTGATCTGGTTTCTTTTCCTGAGATTTTTCATCCTGATCTTGTTCCTTCTCCTGAGATTTTCCATCCTGATCTGGTTTCTTTTCCTGAGATTTTTCATCCTGATCTGGTTCCTTCTCCTGAGATTTTCCATCCTGATCTGGTTTCTTTTCCTGAGATTTTTCATCCTGATCTGGTTCCTTCTCCTGAGATTTTCCATCCTGATCTGGTTTCTTTTCCTGAGATTTTTCATCCTGATCTGGTTCCTTCTCCTGAGATTTTCCATCCTGATCTGGTTTCTTTTCCTGAGATTTTTCATCCTGATCTGGTTCCTTCTCCTGAGATTTTCCATCCTGATCTGGTTTCTTTTCCTGAGATTTTTCATCCTGATCTGGTTCCTTCTCCTGAGATTTTCCATCCTGATCTGATTCCTTCTTCGGACGTCCTTTAATCAGTTCTTCAATGAACACCCGGTCAGGATAACTTTTTTCTTCTATTTTCAGTCCATACTCCTTCATCATTTTCTTCAGGCCATTTTTTTGTTCCAGTAGGCGATCAAGCATATTAATAGAGGCATCCTCATGCTACAAGAATACACAGACAGGTGCTTTAGTGGCGACAGGATCAAAGTGAAAAAAAGCAAGCATGCAAATGTTGTTTTTAATCGCACATTTAAAAAAAAAGTCCCAATTTGCTTTACAAAGCTGATGTACAAACGCTGAATTTAAAGCAATACAAAATAAGATGGCTTAAGTGATACCATACATGCCAACCCTCCCGATTTTTCCTGGAGAATCCCGAATTTCAGTGCCCCTCCCGAAAATCTCCCGGAGCCACCAATCTCCTGAATTTCCACCCAGACAACAAAATTAAAAAACCATATCCCTACATCTCACATCCCACTAGCTTGATGTACAAAAAAGACGCAAAAAAAACGGTAAACTACTGCTAACGGAGAAAAGGGAGAGAAAAACATGGTTAAATTGTACAAAGACGAATAGTTCTAGCTACAGTCAACAGGGGAACGAGATTTGTAATGTACATGATTTAATTTGAGCAATCTGAAATGCATAATATGTATTGTATAGTTTACAGTCACTTGGTATTCGCTCGCTCTGTGGTAGAGTATTACTTCCTGTTCCTGCTCAAACACAGTGGTGTTTCTGAGTAGCTTATCTGCTTAGCAATTTAATTAATTAAATTAAATACAATCTTCACGTGCTTCATCCGAAGCACACTTTCTGTGTAGTCACCACCTAATTTATAGCCAAAGAATTCACTCACTGTCTCTGTACTGTTTCGCTAGCTTAGCTTAGCTCATAGCCGACTCGTTAGCACCATGGCTACTTCACCTGTCCCTCCTGCACTTTCTTGCTCATTGTGTCAGATGTTTAGTTACTCCTAGGCCTCCTTTAGCAGTAATGATATCTGGAACAAATGTAGCATATTTGCAGCTCTGGAGGCCAGGATTACTGAATTGGAGACTCGGCTTCGCACCCTTCATTCAGCCGTAGCTAGCCAGGCCCCTGTAGCTGGTGCAGCCAAAGAAAGCGTAGGCCCCACTAGCTGTTCCCCGGCAGACCCCAAGCAGCTGGGGAAAGAGGGTGGCTGGGTGACGGTGAGGAGGAAGCATAGTCCTAAACAGAAGCCCCAGGTACACCACCAACCTTTTCATGTGTCCAACTGTTTTTCCCTACTCGGCGACACACCCGCCGGGGTTCAAACTCTGGTAATTGGTGATTCTGTTCTCAGACATGTGAAGCTAGAGACACCTGCAACCATAGTCAATTGTCTTCCAGGGGCCAGAGCAGGAGACATTGAAGGAAATTTAAAACTGCTGGCTAAGGGTAAACGTAAATTCAGTAAAATCATAATTCACGTCGGCAGTAATGACACCCGGTTACGCCAAACGGAGGTCACTAAAATTAATATTGAATCGGTGTGCAACTTTGTCAAAACAATGTCGGACTCTGTAGTTTTCTCTGGTCCCCTCCCCAATCAGACCAGGAGTGACATGTTTAGCCGCATGTTCTCCTTAAATTCCTGGCTGTCTGAGTGGTGTCCCAGAAACGATGTGGGCTTCATAGATAATTGGCAAACCTTCTGGAGAAAACCTGGTCTTGTTAGGAGAGACGGCATCCATCCCACTTTGGATGGTGTCATGGTCCTGGGCCATGTGGGCCCAGTATTCTTAGTTTTCATGTATTTTTGTATTTTGTTCTTTATTTAGGCCATGCTTCCTGGGTTGATCTGTTACGTTGTTCCTTATGTGTTTTCCCTTCGTGACTCTTACCCCCTGTGTGCCCCTCTGTGTATTTATGAGCCCTCGTCTCTCTTTGTGTTTTATTCTATGTTTTCCCCAGCCCGTTATGTCTGCGTTCTCCCCGTGCTCTCTCTCCTCCTGTTTGAACCTCTGTGTACTTCCTGTTTTACTTTGCCCATCTCCCATCAGTGTTACGTTCACTCCTGCCGTGTCTTGTTATGATTATCAGTGTCACCTGTGTTCCCCGTGTGCATCCACTTCCCCTGATCATCCCTCATGTGTATTTAGTCTCTGTGTTTCATACAGTCTGTGTCGCGTCGTCTGTGTTCCCACCCTCCGTGTTTCCATGCCCAGACCTTTGTATTCTAAATCATAGCCTTACCTTAGTTCATTCCCAGTTTAGGTTTCTGTTTAGTTATTGCTTTTGTGCTGCCCTTATTCTTGTTTGTTTCTCTTGTGTCACCAGCCACAATAAAAGGCTCGCTTTTGTTTAAAGTTCACTCCCGTATCACTTGTGTCTGCACCTGAGTCCTCCATGCACTCTCCACACGGTCTGTCACAGCGGACCGTGACAGGATGGAGCAGCTCTCATTTCTGGAAATATGGACAAATTTATTAAACCCCCCAAAATATGACTATCCAGAGTTGGGACCAGGAAGCAGAGTTGCAGTCTTACACGCCTCTCTGCAGCTTCTCTCCTCCTGCTACCCCCCCAAAAACCCATCTCCATAGACACTGTGTCAGCTCCCAAAAAGACAAAAAACAAACTAAAAACCAGCAATAAACAACTTAAACATAAATAATCACAAAGAAAGAACAATTCAGTATCCACATCTGAACCAAAGAGTAAAACAGTGAAATGTGGATTATTAAATATAAGGTCTCTCTCCTCCGAGTCTCTGTTAGTACATGACCTAATAATTGATCAACAAATCGATTTACTCTGCCTTACAGAAACCTGGTTGCAACAGGATGATTATGTTAGTTTAAATGAATCAACACCCCCGAGTCATTCTAACTACCAGAAATCTCGAAGCACAGGCAGAGGGGGCGGTGTGGCAGCAATTTTTCACACCAGCCTATTAATTAACAAAGTACCAAGACAGACTTTTAATTCATTTGAAATCCTGATGCTTAGCCTTGTCCACCCCAGCTGTAAAACTCAGAAGCCAGTCTTACTTGTTACCATATATCATCCACTTTACACAGAGTTTGTCTGATTTCTCAGCCTTTTTATCTTATTTAGTTCTCAGCTCAGATAAAATAATTATTGTGGGTGACTTTAACATCCATGTAGATGCTAAAAATGACAGCCTCAACATGGCATTTGATCTGTTATTAGACTCAATTGGCTTCTCTCAAAATGTAAAAGATGTATAAAAAAAAAAAAAAACCAGGTTTCTCTTCAGCACTGTAGCCAGGCTGACAAAAAGTCAGAGCTCTATTGAGCCAACCATCCCTTTAACATTAAGTAGTAATGACTTCATGAACTTCTTCACAAATAAAATTTTTATCATTAGAGAAAAAATTACCAATAATCATCCCAAAGATGTAATATTATCTACAGTTACTTTTAGTACCATTGATGTTAAGTTAGACTCTTTTTCACCAATTGATCTTTCTGAGTTAACTTTAAAAATTACTTCCTCCAAACCATCAACGTGTCTTTTAGACCCCATTCCTACAAAACTGCAAAGTCCTGCCATTAATTAATTCTTTGATCTTAAATATGATCAACCTATCTCTAATAATCGGCTATGTACCACAGGCCTTCAAGCTGGCTGTAGTTAAACCTTTACTCAAAAAGCCATCTCTAGACCCAGCAGTCTTATCTAATTATAGGCCAATCTCCATCCTTCCTTTCATATCAAAAATCCTTGAAAAAGTAGTTGTCAAACAGCTAAGTGATCATCTCAGAGGAATTGTTTATTTGAAGAGTTTCAGTCAGGTTTCAGAATTCACAGCACAGAAACAGCTTTAGTGAAGGGTACGAATGATCTTCTTATGGCCTCTGACAGTGGATTCATCTCTGTACTTGTCCTGCTAGACCTCAGTGCAGCATTTGATACTGTTGACCATAATATCCTATTACAGCAATTAGAACATGCTGTAGGTATTACAGGTACTGCGCTGCAGTGGTTTGTATCATACTCCAATTTGTACATGTAAATGGAGAGTCCTCTTCACACACTGAGGTTAATTATGGAGTTCCACAGGGTTCGGTGCTAGGACCAATTCTGTTTACACTATACATGCTTCCCCTAGGCAGCATCATTAGAAGACATAGCATACATTTTCACTGCTATGCTGATGACACCCAGCTCTATCTATCTATGAAGCCAGATAACACACACCGACTAGTTAAACTGCAGGAATGTCTTAAAGACATAAAGACCTGGATGGCCGCTAACTTTCTGCTTCTTAATTCAGATAAAACTGAGGTTATTGTACTCGGCCCTGAAAATCTTAGAAATATGGTATCTAACCAGATTCTTACCCTGGATGGCATTACCTTGGCCTCCAGTAACGCTGTGAAGAACCTTGGAGTCATTTTTGACCAGGACATGTCCTTCAACGCACATATTAAACAAATATGTAAGACTGCTTTCTTCCATTTGCGCAACATCTCTAAAGTTAGAAATATCCTCTCTCAGAGTGACGCTGAAAAACTAGTTCATGCATTTATTACTTCCAGGCTGGACTACTGCAATTCATTATTATCAGGATGTCCAAAAAACTCACTGAAAAGCCTTCAGTTAATCCAAAACGCTGCAGCAAGAGTACTGATAGGGACTAGAAAGAGAGAGCATTTTTCTCCTGTTTTGGCTTCCCTTCATTGGCTTCCTGTTAAATCCAGAATTGAATTCAAAATCCTGCTCCTCACATACAGGGTCTTAAATAATCAGGCCCCATCTTATCTTAATGACCTTGTAGTACCATATCACCCTATTAGAGCACTTCGCTCTCGCACTGCAGGCCTACTTGTTGTTCCTAGAGTATTTAAAAGTAGAATGGGAGGGAGAGCCTTCAGTTTTCAGGCCCCTCTTCTGTGGAACCAGCTTCCAGTTTGGATTCGGGAGACAGCCACTATCTCTACCTTCAAGATGAGGCTTAAAACTTTCCTTTTTGCTAAAGCATATAGTTGGGGCTGGACCAGGTGACCCTGAATCCTCCCTTAGTTATGCTGCAATAGATGTAGGCTGCCGGGGATTCCCATGATGCATTTAGTTTTTCCTTTCCAGTCACCTTTCTCACTCACTGTGTTAATAGACCGCGCTGCATTGAATCATATCTGTTATTAACCTCTGTCTCTCTTTCACA